CACACCTGGGGACGCCTTGGTAAAGCTACAACCCTGCTAGGGCACACCTGGGGACACCTGACACACCTGGATCTCCTCCTCATACTCCTTCACCTGCCAAAGGGACACTACGGCGCACCTGGCCACACCTGGGCACACTTGTACTACCTGGTGACACCTGTGCACACCTGATGCACCTGGATCTGCTCCTTGTACTCCTCCACCTGCCACAGGAGACACCTGGGCACACCTGGCACGCCTGAGATCCACCAGCATCATCATCTGAGGTGCATGGGGTCATCTCCTAGAGCCTGAACACCTGGGCACACCTGGAGCCTGCACACGTGGGCACACCTGGATCCCTGCACATCTGGATCCCTGAACACCTGGGCACACCTGGACACACCTGGATATTGGAATATCTGCACACCTGGATCCCTGCACACCTGATCATCTACACACCTGAGCTCCACCAGCATTGTCTGGTGGATCCCTGCACACCTGGACACACCTCAGCACACCTGAGCACACCTGTACCACTCACACCTGGGTACACCTGGATCCCTCACACATCTGTATCACTCACATCTGGACACACCACCTGAGCACACCTGGGCACACCTGGGTCACTCACACCTGAGTCCCTGCCCGGTCCCGCTGGCTCTTGTCCATGGACTTGGAGCGCTCCTTGAGCTTGTACCCCTCACACCTGGATCACTCACACACCTGTATCACTCACACCTGAGCACACCTGGATCCCTCACACATCTGTGTCAGTCACACCTGGGCACACCTGTCCCAGTCACACCTGTACCCTCACACCTGGGTCCCTACCTGGTCCAGCCGGCTCTCGTCCATGGACTTAGAGCACTCCTTGAGCTTGTACCCCTCACACCTGGGCACACCTGGCTCACTCACACACCTGTACCAATCACACACCTGTACTAGTCACACACCTGATCACACCTGTACCAATCACACACCTGGGCACACCTGGGCACTCACACCTGAGTCCCTATCCGGTCCAGCTGGCTCTCATCCAAGGACTTGGAGCGCTCCTTGAGCTTGTACCCCTCACACCTGGATTCCTAACACCTGTACCAATCACACACCTTTATCAGTCACACACCTGAGCACACCTGAGCACACCTGTGGCACTCACACCTGAGTCCCTACCCGTTCCCGATGGCTCTTGTCCATGGACTTGGAGCACTCCTTGAGCTTGTACCGCTCACACCTGGATCCCTGCACACCTGTATCACTCACACACCTGGATCCCTCACACACCTGTACCAATCACATACCTGAGCACACCTGTATCAGTCACACCTGTCCCAGTCACACCTGGGTCACTCACACCTGAGTCCCTACCCGGTCCAGCCGGCTCTCGTTCATGGACTTTGGGTACTCCTTGAGCTTGTACCCCTCACACCTGGGCACACCTGTATCACTCACACACCTGTACCAATCACACACCTGTATCAGTCACACCTGGGCACACCTGTGGCAGTCACACCTGCCCTACCCGGTCCAGCCGGCTCTCGTCCATGGACTTGGAGTACTCCTTGAGCTTGTACTCCTCGCGCTCGATGTGCGCGCTCTCGATGTCGGCCGACAGGTGCGGCATGTTGGACACCCAGGCNGGGACAGCCCAGGGACATGGGGACAGCCCCAGGGACACCCCTGGCATCACAGGGATGTGGGGACACCTCTGGGGACACACTCAGGCACATGGGGACACCCTGGGGCCAGCCAGGGACTTGGGGACAATTGTGGGGACACACATGGGCAACAGCATGTCCCCAGGTCCCTTGGTGTCCCCGTGTCACCTCTGTGTTACTCGTGTCCTACATGGGCCTGTGTCACCCCCACATCCTTGTGTCCCCTGTGTCCCTGTGTCCCCTGTGTCCTTCTGTCCCCTGTGTCCCTGTGTCCCCTGTGTCCTTCTGTCCCCCTGTGTTCCTGTGTCCCCTGTGTCTGTCTGTGTGTCCCCAATGCCCCTGTAGCCTGATGTCCCTGTGTCCCCCTCGATGTCCCTGATGTCCCCAAAGTCCCCTTGCTGTCCCCGTGTGTCCCCACATCCCTGCACGTCCCTATGTGTCCCCAGTGTCCCCTGGCTGTCCCTGTGTGTCCCACATCCCTGTGTCCCCTGTGTGTCCCCATGTCCCTGTCTGTCCCATGGCTGTCCCCATGTCCCTGTCTGTTCCCATGTCCCCTGTCTATCCCCAACATCCCCATGTCCCCTGTCCATCCCCAACGTCCCCTGGCTGTCCCCATGTCCCTGGCTGTCCCCTGGCTGTACCCATGTTCTCATGTCCCTTTCTGTCCCCAGCTTCCCCATGTCCCCTGGCTGTCCCCATGTCCCTGTGTCCCTGTATCCCCACATCCCTGTGTGCCCCCATGTCCCTGTGTGTCCCCGTGTCCCCAGGCTGTCCCTGCTGTCCCCATGTGTCCCTCACCTGCCAATGATGTTCTTGATCTGCGAGTCCCTGTGTGTCCCTGTCCCTGTGTCCCCATGTCCCTCTGTCTCCCGGTGTCCCCGCTGTCCCTGTGTGTCCCTCGCCTGCTGAAGACGCTCTTGATCTGTGGGTCCCTCTGTCCCTGTGTGTCCCCATGTCCCTGTCTGTTCGCAGTGTCCCCTGTCTGTCCCTGTGTCCCTGTATCCCCATATCCCTGTGTGTCCCCATGTTCCCATACCCTGTGTGTCCCCAGGGTGTCCCCGCTGTCCCTGTGTGTCCCTCACCTGCTGAAGAAAATCTTGATCTGAGTCCTCTCTGTCCCTGTGTGTCCCACTGTCCCTGTCTGTTCCCATGTCCCCATGTCCCTGTCTGTTCCCATGTGTCCCTGTGTGTCCCCATGTCCCTGTGTGTCCCACTGTCCCTGTCTGTTCCCACGTCCCCATGTCCCTGTCTGTTCCCAATCTCCCTGTGTGTCCCTGTACCCCATATCCCTGTGTGTCCCCATGTCCCCAATGTCCCTGTGTGTCCCCGTGTCCCTCCCATATCCCTGTGTGCCCCTGTCTGTCCCCATGTCCCTGTGTGCCCCCTTGTCCCCAGTGTGTCCCTGTACCCCCATAGCCCTGTGTGTACCCATGTCCCCAGGCTGTCCCCACTGTCCCTGTCTGTCCCTGTGTCCCTGTGTGTCCCCGTGTGTCCTGCACCTGATGATGATGCTCTTGATCTGCAAGTCCCTGTGTGCCCCTGTCCCTGTGCCCCTCTGTGCCCCATGTCCCATTGTCCCTGTCCGTCCCCATTTCTCTGTGTGTCCCCGTGTCCCCAGGCTGTCACCGCTGTCCCCATATGTCCCTCACCGGCAATGATGCTCTTGATCTGTGAGTCCCTGTGTGTCCCCAG